AATGATGATTACAAAGAGAAAAAGGATTGTCTTCATCCGGTTTTATATCACGAAATATTTTTTTTTCTCATTGTCTCTATTTAAAGAGCATTTCCGCAACATCTAACGATGAAACATATGGATGCCGACGATGTTCGGATTTATATACGTGAACCCGACAAAGATATTTTTTATCAACTAGAAGATATGAGGTAATATGTCACCTATAATTGTAAAATGTTAATAGTGACTATAAAAAAATGCTTTTTTTTCCTCTTCGTATAGTGATGTCAAAGATCGTTCCGTCCTAAAAGTCGTTCAATTGAATAACAATCATAATAATAATAATAAAACACAAGTTTCATTTAAACAACCCAAATCCGATGACATATCCATTTATGTTCCGTTTACATCACGTCCAACATTGGCAAGTGAAATAACTTATCAACGATTAAGTCGTCTTGGTCGTATGCCATCAACAACATCTATTCCATCAACATCATCAAGAAATGGATCCATTGAAGATAAATCAACATCATCGACATCGGCAAATCCACAAATATCATCTAATACTTCTTCATCTCGTTCTCTTAGTGAGCCAAGACGTCGATCAGCTACTAAAGAAACAACGTCTACTATTAATAATCAAACATCTACAAATCCGAATTTAATGGGTTAGTAAAAAAAAATTCGAAGAGTTATTTCTGTTTTTTTATAATATGTATAAATTATATTTTATTGTTCTAGCTCCAAAGGTTATACCATCATCGCCAAGAAGTGGTTCAACGACACCGACAACACCTCGAATTGGTGATGACGAAGCTCAGTAATAATAAATAAATATGTGTCTTTAAACTATAATATAATAATTGTTTCTAGTAGTAAAATGGCTTGGATGGAAAAACAACTTGAATCATTAACTGAACTTGTTCAAGAACTAACACGTGAACGAGCTCTTAATGAACAACAATTATCAACAAGAACAGGAATCTATAGAGGTATTTTACAAAAGAAAATCTATACGATTGAATAATTTTTATGCAATTGATTGATTATTAAAAAAAGCTCTAAGGAATAATGAAGATTAATGCCTGTTAGGTTTTCAATTAATTTCTACCTGATGATGTCATTTCCTGCTCGAAGCGTGTTCAATGTAGGAGAAAGAAAAAAAAAGAGTACGAGTCATTTCAGAACAAACATATCTTAACATGAAAGAAAAAAGATGAATTCTATTTCCTTTATAATGACAAATCTACGAAGGGAGGAGGGGGGGGGGTGATCGTTCCTTCCTTCCGAACTATTTTTCTGAGCACAAAACGTCCGAAAATGAGCCGATACAACCTCTAATTTGATTTGAATACACATTTCATGACTTTGGATCGTTCTTTTTTTTGTTGAAGCGCTTGCATTTAACAAAAATCTTAGATCCGCCATTGATGATTCGATTAACTGATATGGGGTTTCTTTTTAGACATTAATGGTAAGTCATTACGTCAACAATTATATGAATTGAAAGTCAAAACCCATACATTACGTAATGATTTAATATCAATACGACGTATGCAACAGTCATTACAAGAAGATTTCAAAATGCAATTTGAAGATGCCAATAAAAAAATAGAAGTATATCGATTTTAAAAAAAATCTGTCTTATTTAATTATACAAAGAATTTTGTTGTTTTTTTTTACTTTTAGGATTACATTTTACGTTTATATCGAATCGAAACTCGTTCAGAACAATGTCGTACTATTGAAAATGAACTTGATTTATATATGATAAATAGTACAAAAATTGATCGAGATTTAGAGTATGATAAAATAAAGTTATTTTTATATTTAATTAAATGATATTTTGTTTTTTTTAATGAATGATAGAGATTTAGAAGCATCAGTTGAAGAATTACAAAATGATGTTAAATCTAAACAATGTTATGTAACAATGAATGATGTTGAAAGTTTTGCTTTAGTTCTAAGTACCATTAGTCGTTCATTAGTCGATTTAAAAGGTAAAAACAATTTAATAATAAATTAAAATTATAAAATAGGTTTTTTTCTTCTAAAAGCTTCATTTCCAGTGTTACGTGAAAAAATTTCTTTAGTTGGCCAACAATCAACTTTAAATGACGATCAAAAGTAATACTTTTATGAACGACTTTTTTTCTCATATTTTATTTTATTTTATTTTTTTTGGATGATTAGATTTTTACATGAAGAACCCGAACGTCTTGATTATACAATTAAAAAATGTAAACGTTTAACTACAATGCTTTATCAACTCAAACGATTAGCTGTTACTCAAGAACAAAAATCATTATCACAAAAACCACGATGTCAATATTCATTTGGTTCAAATGGAAAACCACTTGATCGTAAACGTTTATTAGAACAAATAGAATCAGTCACACAAAATTCTGATGGTCGAGTAAAATCTATTGAGGTTAATTTTAACATTTTTTTTTACAAACAAAAAAACAAACAAAGATTTATTCTCATTTTTAGAAAGCAGAAAAATTACGAGAACGTCGTTTACATTATACAAATCAATTAGATATACTTAAACAAATAAAATATACATCTGAACAAGTATAAATAATTGAGATATTTTTATTTATATAGAAAGTTGTACTTTGGTTTTTAGATGGATGGACATGATTCAGGACAATATTTTGATACACGAAGTTTAACAAATTCAATATTACTATCATCAAGTACACGAACAAGTATTTGTTCAACACAATCAACGACAGATTCAACAGCATTATCAAATAATTGTCCATCACCATCACTTTCATTTATTGTTCGTCAAGCAGTAATCTCTCCAACAAATGCACCAGTCGTAATAAATGATACAAAAACTCGTTCACAGATATCAATGAAACAACCAACAAAAGTAACATTTTCTCAACAATTAATAACAAATGGAAAATCTTCAACAAATTCACGTGATCATTCAACTGATTCATATTTATCAACAAATGGTAATTGTATAAATAAAAAAACTAAACCAACACCACCACCACGTATACAAAGTACATCATCATCAGCTGTTTCAAGTGGAGCATCATGTTCATCATCATCTAGTTCATCTTCATCATCAAATAGTAGTGCAAATTCACGTCCAGCAAATGGTTTTTGTGGTATTATACCACTTGTTATATCACCTGATCGTCGTCATAATGGACGATGTAATTCATTTTCATCATCAAGTACTGATACAGATTCAGTTATATCAAATCCTCGTGGAAATATGCCACATAAATCACCAATAGTTAATAATACAAAACCAATATTAATATCAAATGGTTTTCATCATAAAACATCAGCATCAACTAATTCAACAACATTAATGCGCGCTTCAGTTACTGATCTCTAGTACTGTTTATTGTGTATAGTTTCGATATATATAATATATATGTGTGCGTGCTTGTACAGCTTTGTCGTCTGTTTGTTTTCATTTTTTTTTTACTATTATTTTTTTTTCGCTTTTCTGTTTCTTTTTCTCTTTTTTGTTCGTATCGTTATATTATAGCAAAAGGCATAAAAGTCACCCATCATCATTCATCATCCAATATATTATATTCGGATAAGAAAAATCAATAGACCGAAACATCATAGCATATTGATAAAAAGAATGCAGTGATTCGAATAATATTTTTGGTTTTTTTTTTTTGACTATGAAAAGTGATATAGAAGACAAACAATAAGATGGGTGCAACACACAGGTAAGTCATATTATTATTATTGTTGAGGACACAGGGAACGTGTTATCGATAAAATACTGATTGAAACACAATATGTATGTATATGTCACAGTTCACACAATGATTTTAATCGCGTCCTTGCACGACAACCTCGAACATCAATTAATATGCCTAGATTTGACATACAAAACAATTTGATACAAGAACCACTTACTCATACACTTTCTGTAAGTATTTAAGATGAAAACTTACAGAACTATTCTTGTCTACCGAATATCTCCAAAAGCCTTAATCATTTAATAAGTACAAGTAACTCCGCTAGTGATCAAGCTTAATCAAAAATGTTTTTTTTTTGTATTTGACATAGAAGACTAGTAGGTTTTTATTGGTAAAGATCAAGGTCATCAATAGTGTAGAAAAGATAATACTTTTGGCTAGAAACAAGAAATTAGACCTTTTTCAATGTTACGAAGAATATGCATCATTTTGATTTCAATATTTACTGAAATTTCAATCGGTAATTATGGATTTTAGATCATACAGATCTTTGATCATTTCTTTTTTTATAATTTGTTTGACATTTTTTAAAACAATCGAATCATTGGTGCATTTCTTCATAGTAAATCGTTCGTAGATCTTCGAAAACTTTAAAAATCTTGAGAATGAATGCGTCAGATCACTTTATAACTCATTATTTTGACATTACAATTGGCTGTCTTGTTTCTTTTTTCGTGAGAATATATCAAAAAATTTACAGTAAAAATTTAAAATGATCTGAAATCCATAATATCAATAGAAATTCCATCAGATATTTTAAAAAAATCGTTGCATATTCTTCGTAGTATCGAAAAAGGCATAAGTTTTAAATTGTAATTGAAAGTGTTATCTTTTCTACACTATTCATAAATTTAGTCTTTACAAATAAAAACTTACTAGTCTCTCTCTTATATTAAATAGAAAAAGTTTTTGATTCATCTTGGTCACTAGCGATGTTATCTCTTTTGATTAAGTGATGAAAACTTTTAGAATACCTTATAAATATATTAAAATAAAACTCAACTGTCTTTTTTATCGAGTGCAAACGTACTCATATAACTTCTATACATCTTGCATACTGTTAACTTTGAAATAGGTCATACATATTAGAATTTGTTGTGATAAGAAGTTTGGATACAATAAGTAATATTAATCATTTTGTGAATGAATAGATTCCTGTTCCTGTTCCACAAAATAAAAGTCAAAATAAAAATGCAACTGCTATTCTTCGAAATAAATCACCGGTTGAAAATAAATATTCTGAACCAGTTCAAACAGTACAACAAGTGAAAATTTTATTTATTTCTATAGCTTTCTATAAATATTATTGATAAAACTTTGTAGATGTATGCATCACCACCTATCGAACAGACAACATCATCCTCTGCCATTAATAATTCAACAGCAAAGAAATTCAAACAAGAACGACCACAGCAACAAATAATTCAGCGAAATACTACTCATGACGGTAGATTTGATTTACTTGTACATAATCAAACAATGAATAATAATAGTGCTGTTATTTCACGTTCTATTATGACTCGAAATGATCTACGATGCTTGAAAAATTATTATTCTTCATTATTTCGACCTGAATGGTCTATAGTTGAACATAATGGAAAACAGTTTGTTGTTGAATTTACACAACGTACAGAACGACGTTTTGTACAATTTATGGATGACAAGACACATCAAATGAGACTTTTTGAAGTTATTGATTGTATACCAAGTACAATAATACGGCCATATAAACGTAAGTCTCAATCACTATTACCAAATGATACTTCTCGTCTTGATCGTCGATCAAATCAGCGTCGTGCTCTTCAACCAATTTCAAATTATCGATCACCTTCAAGTTTCGTTAACAAACGAGGTTTAAGTAAGTCTTCGGATGTTTGTTTTATACATTGAATATATTTCAAGTTGAACTAAAAATTTTCTCGATCTATAAGCCGCAATTTTATGCATATACCGCAGAAATTTTATTTCTAATCATATAAAATTTTAGGAAAAAGAATAGCTTGATGTATAAAACTTCTACCTTACAAATAGTCGTGTCAGTTTCATTGTCGAATATGATGCACAACACAATAATACTAATGTATCGTTCACTACTAATACTCTAAAAAATATTCATGATAAACCTTATACAATTCTATATCTTCCACAAATCCTACCAATAAGTCAACTAACAACACAAACTACTAGTAATGTAAACAGTGGTTAAGCGAAAACTCCTAAAGCGATGACGTAATACTTGTTACTTAATCATTTTAGGAGTCCTTGACTGACTATTATTTGCACTACTACAAAGTACAATCGATTCAATTTATGATCGTTCATAATCTAACTCACTGAAATCTTCATTTATTAATTTACAGAATGTATTCAATCAGTAGTATTCATCGAAACTGTTTCTTGTAGAATCACTATCATTTGAACAACCAACTTCAACATATTCTGATGATGATGTATCTACTTATACAACTGATTCTCTTGGTAAATATCCAACGATTTAAAGAATATGCCTATTTGATAATATCTATCTAGATTCAAATGAAGAATCGGAAACAGAAGATAGTCAAGAAATTGATCGAATATTGAAATCAAAAGAAATGCATAGCGGTTACACACAAACGTATCCATTTTTCTTTAATAATTATAATACTATAGCAGTTTTAAATGAAGCAATTGGCGGATACAATTTACCGATGCCATTTAGTTCATATGTTCGATCAGTATATCCAAATCATCGTCATCACTATCAAAAATTATGTACTATAAATAAGTATGTATTAAGTTTTGAAATAAAATATTTCATATTTTTTTAATATCACTAATATTTAGCTCTGCTCAACCAATTACGAAAATTTGAAAATTTCAACAACCTACTTATCTTGATTATGGGTCAATTCCAATTGCTTTCAAATAATTATGTAAATTTTGTCATTAGGTTTTTTTCTACATTTCCATCTTTCATTTTTTTTATTGTTATGGATTGAAATCTACATTCTTATTCGAAAGTATTATGTAGAAGTATTAGTAATAGTTAAGAAACAAATTTAGTTTTTTTTTTATATCGATATCCATATCATCCTTTTTTTTTAATTTTATGCATAAAATACATGATACATATATAGAACAACTCTGAAACGAACAGTTAATTTATTCAAATCATTCTTCTATCAAAATAGAAGATTACTGTAAAGAGTGAAATGTAAGATTCAAAACTTGTAAAACACTTTTGTACACAGTCTGTTACGATTATATTCTTATAATTATGTTATGCACCATATATTCAGATAATCATTATTACCAAAAGAATCCCTTGGTGAAGAACTAAAAAAAGTTTATGTCCGTATAAAGAAATAATACCATAAAAAAAAAGTTGCTATTGAACGTATCATGTAACCAATTTAATAGTGACTCATAAAACTGTAATAAATGAATCTTTATTTGTATATTAAACTGTGTTCAGATCAGCTCTTACTAGGAGTGATCAGTTATTGTGGTAACATAACTATGCTAATAGATCATTGAATAACGAAAAGTTACTGAATAATTAGTGAATATTCACAGAATACTAATTAACTAAGACTAGAAGAGGAGAAATTGACTGTTATGTTCCTTAGTGAATACCAGATTTTCTCATTGTCAAATACACAATCATCCAATATGAACTTCATGTTCGTAATCATATATCAATTTTTGTACAAGAGTTTCTTCAACTTTGGTTATTTAAATCTATCACTGAGATAGTCGCACACAAATACGAAACTCTATATAAAAGAGAACCCACACAAGTTTATAGAGTATGAGATTTTACATATTGTCATTCGATACATCAGTATTCATTACAGATCGAAGAGTTTCAAAATTGGGTTTCATTGCTCTTATTAACTGAGACATATCAAATGTAATCTATGGAAGAGAATATAATAAAAAAGATCAGATAAATTATTATTAAAATGCGCCTGTTTTGTTTATTCTTAGATAATATAAATAGTCTTATGTATTTGTGTAACTTTTCTCATTCAGCATATCCAATTGTGCTTATAAAATTAAACCGTCCTTTAGGTTCACGTCAGTGAAGTACATGTAACGTAACATCTGATGAAAAAAATTAAAATAAGTATTTAGAACTAACGACGAATTTTCGATTGTGTTTCTTAATTAAAATTTGATTTTGACAAAATCATGCATGTGTTAAGTGAGAGTTTGCCAAAATACCGATCAACATAAGTTGAGGTCGGCTGCAGAAAATTTTTAGATTTAGATTTTGATTATTTCATTCGAAATTCTATGAAAAGTTGTTAAGAAAATCCAAATATCTGCTCATTCTAGTTTACTTATTTAAAAATGGCAAGAACCATAATTCGTCAAAATTTCGAATCATACTCAAAAAATCGACTTTTTCAATTCTTCTCGTATTTTGCTATTCTTTTTCTCCGTCGTTTAGTAGTTTAAGGAACAAAACATCTCAGATGATAGAGATTTTTTCCACTACAACATAAACTATTCCTATTATTTTTCGAATGCCATTGTTTTTTAATGAGAAACGAATCAAATCAGAGAAAAACAAGGATAGAAGTTTTAGTCATGAATTTTAGATATGTTGTAACTGTAAACAAAGCACATCTTTTGATATATTTTCCTATGAGAAATTTTACCAGAATGCTATAAAATTTTTCTTCAAGAAAAATCGAAGGTAGTATTGTTTCATCCCTTTGACAATATAGTATTACTGAATTATTTCATGAATAATTCGAGAATACATTCATTTAGATAGTTTTACAATCTGAAAAATAATATGAATGCCAATAATTCGTGTTGTATTTGATGAATCATTGAGTTAGTCACTAGTGAGTACTGGATCAGCAACTCAAGAAATTATAGAACTACATTTCACATCTTGTCAGTTGATTTCGATGTGAATTTGATTGATATCATACTATCTCAAAGGCTTTGTGTCGTAGTTAGTATTTTTCTGTTACAAATGCATATGTTTGTTAAACATGCCGCTTAACATGAAACTTTTATCGAAAAGAGAGGTAACATTGCTCTATCTAATGTGGGATTACATACTATAAGATTTGTTTCCTGCGCGAGGATACCCATACGTAAAGGAAAAGTATATGTTCACTCTGTAGCTTCCTAGCACTATGGCTAAACAGGCTCTTGTCGGTCCTTACAATCAGGATTCATTGAGTTCTATTTGCAGTAAAAATATGAGCCCAAACAGTTGAAGTTTAGATAGTTTTTATCTGGGTGCAACACTTTTTTTGCGACTACTGTATATTCTTTACTGCCTTGGGAGCCGATGCAACATGATGTGGGCACACTCTGAAAATTTCTGATAGATAATAGAAAAGCTGCAGTTCTTCTGAAAGACATTTACATGCACTTATTACATCATAAAACGATTCAGCGAACAATTCTATCAGTTGTGAGTAATGTCGTTTCACATCTTTCAATGTCTGAAGACGTAGATATCAATGAAATAAATATCAACCACCAAAAGTTCATTATAGCGCACCTTGCTACGTGTTTTTGTATGGATCTTTTACAATGATTCTGCTATAAATTGAAGTATATATTCTACATATATTTCATTTTGACTACTCGTTCACTAATTGTCTATGATTGATCAAAACTATTGATGTAATCAAATTCCATCGATTTCAAATATTTAAATATTTGATGTCTAACTATAATAAATTAATTATAATAAACAATCAAAAATTTTATCAATGTACTATTTCAGATCATGCATTGATACTAATGAATATTAAATATCCAAGATCATGTAAACATTATTTTTTCTCGATGTATATCTTTCATGCATTTTTTGGTTGAACAACAAGTTTATCTTATCTTTTTTTTTTTTATCTAACTAAATTTATTATCAATCTGTTTTTTTTTTCATTAATAAAACAAACAATATCTATATAAAATATTTTACAATCTGACATTTAACTTGTTTATACATTATTAATTAAAATTACGTTCGACATTTTTTTGCATTAAATGATTGATTGAAATTAGAATCGACTAAAGGCCGTTTGAGTCCAATTTTTGATTCTTCACATAAAGATTGTTGTTGACTACTGATACCATGTTCATCTTCATCTATCATTTTCTTACGTTCAGCTTGCATTGCATCATCGAGCCATTCGACACGCATCGATGGTTCGATATTTGTACCATTGTTAGTATTATTATAATTAATATTACTTATTGATCGAATTATTTGAAGTGATTTTTTATTTTGTTCATCATCATTCATTGATGGACGAGATATAGATGCATTACTGTTACTATTACTATTATTATGATTAAGAAATTGTGCTAAAGATGATTCAAGATCATTGAGCATTGTTTCAGCTTCATTAGAAATTTGTGATGATTGTTTCGGGACTGATGGAATGACTCTTGGTGATGAAATTTCAATAGTAGGAGCAACTGTAGTAATATGAGGTTTTTTCTTCTTGTTGATAATTGGTATAATACGAGGAGTTTGAATAAGTTTTAGAGATGAAGTAGACTTTATTGTTGTTAATGAGGGAAGATGATTTTCTTCTTCTTCATCATCATCATCATCATCATCATCACCAGCAGAAATAAAGGTCTACAAAAAAATGACATAACTTCAATCATTTATATTCAATCGGTTTCATTCAAAAAATCAATTGGTGTTTTTTTGCCTACTTACCAAAGATCGATTTGGATCATAAGTAGTAGCATATAATTTTTCATCTACACGTTGTCCAAATTTTTGACAAGCTTTAAGCCATGCTGGATGTACACACAATGCTCTATGTTCTATAGCTTTTTTATATTCTTTTCCTCTTTTACTCAATTTTCCCTAGAAAAATCAAAAAAATCACCATAATTATCTTTCTATGTTTCGTTTTACTAGTTAAAAAAAAATGTCACCAACTTGACAAATATAATGAGTAAAAGGTACATCAAATACCCAAACAAATTTTCCACCAAGTGCTGTACATTGTTCATGTAACGTCGTTCTACTCGTCGCTAATTGTTGACTAACAAAAATGACAACACCTTGTAACGGAAGTTTTGTTTTTGCTGGCTAAAAAATAAAAAGCAAACACTTAAATAAATGAAAAAATATTTTAAGTAAAATTTCTTTTTTTATACTGATGATAGAATTTCTTTGGACATGATCGATTCTTGTTTTGAAGACAAGCAAAATTTACACAACTACAGAAATATTTTTATTTCACCAATCAAATATAAAACTATATTAAAGACATCTGCAGGAAAATATATTAACAAACCAATCATTTATTTAAACTGTTTTCTTTCTGAAAGGTTAAAAAACAACAGAATATTTCTTGTTTTACTTTCGCTACTTTCTATTTAGTCCATTGTTATGTGATTATTTTCATACACTCCAAATTTTGTTTTTTGTAAAACAGGCAATGATCTCCTGTTGTTATTCATCATTCATTTTTTATATTATCTTTTTTTCTTTGTCATTATTTTCTTTTGCTTATCAACAATCAACAATTGATT